GGTTATAAGCCTGATCCAGCAAATGGCACGGCAGCTGATATCGCATACCTGAGCGGAAAGGGATGCGAACGAGTCAGCAGACGTGATAAAATGCTATATTTATTACGACAAAAGATCGATAGAATTACTGACCCTGTTGAAAAACAAAAGTATTTATAAAAGAAATTTATCATGCTAACAATAATAATTTTAAACTTAATTATAATAGATATGAAAAAGAATTGGAAAATTTAATTAACCACCGTCAGTACGTGGACGGTAAGCTATCGGATTTCGTAAAGCACCTTAGTACAATAGTCGAAGGTATTGACCACGATACAATTATGACTGAAACGCAAAACTTGCAAAATCGCGAGTGTTATCGAAAATTTGTCGAAGCATTTGATAATAATAATTGTTTCAATCTGAATGTAAGAAATGTGCACGATCAAAAATTTAAAAATTATACTTGGTGATTTATTTTTTTGAAACAGAATTCGTTCGTTAAGGATAGGCTACAGATATTTGTAAATATATGCGAATTAATGCGAAACCCGAGTGAAGTGGATGTGGGCGTCAATAGTCTGATACAGTATTGTCAAGATAATATTGACCAGGATATGTCTGATTATGAGTAGGTTTATGAGGATTTTGAGTATTGTGTTGATTTATAATTACGATATTCTCAAATGATGAACAAAATAAAATATTGAATTTTTTATCAATTTTAATTTTATTTTAATTTGCAATAAAAAAATATTGCTAATAAACATTTTTTGTATTAATCACTATTCATAGTGTACGACACTATGGAACTCCAGTATACATGTATAATAAATAATCTGAAAATTTAAATTCATTAAAAATATTTAACTTAATTTGTTTTTGTAATAAACAATTATATAGATAGATTGCTCTAGTTTAGCCAGTATTGGATAAAATTGAATTTGTTTAAAAAATCAAATTTGCTGAGAATGCAATATGAATGCGTTTATTTAATAACAGGTTAAGTCTATATTGTATAATAGAAATTAAATTGAATAGTAATGTATTGTACTGTAATCATTTCAATACTCATAATGAGTAATGTACTAAATGGTCACAATTTTTAATTTACAGGTTTTAAATGAACTCGACTTAAGTTGTTATTAAATAAACGCATTCATATTATAATAATAATAATACTATCTAGTGCTACACTTATATACGGGTAATACTTAAAAATAATCAAATAAGTATCTAAACTTTAATAAATAAAATTATTATTATATTAAAATTCTAAAACTTATTTGTTAATGCTTATATAATCAATGTGATAGTTTAAGTTTAAAATTATTTTCACATTTAGTAAGATGAATTTAATAAAATAGATTTTTAAAAATAAACACATTATATTCAATATTTTGATTGTTTTTAAGGACTATATGCTTTTTAATATTACACTCATTTAAAAGTACATTGCTTATGACATTTTTGTTAATAGAATTGATATAACTTTATTAGTGCGTGACTGCCATCAAATATAAACTAGCAACCACCAAAACACCAATGCCCATATCATTACCATCCATACCACTTTCCATCGACTTTTCCGTACCGAACTGTTTCACGCAATNATTACATTTCAATTAAAACAACTAAATAACTTACTTTTGCACCTAGCTCACAGTTTTGTCAACCCCATTGTCTACTGTTTTATGAGCAAAAATTTTCGGGTAAATATATTTTTTAGAAACTTACCCTTTTCATAATTAATTACTACTATTTTAAGGCCATTTTATGTTCAATATTGCGACGTAACTGTCCAAAAATAACGTGCCAATTTCAATGCAAAACCTACATGCTACGTAATCCACGTACACATTCGCCTACGTAAATAAGGGGCACCTCCTATACTCGTCTACCCATACCGACCCACCCCCTACACAAAGGACAAACATATCAAATACTCAACTGGATACATTAATTTAATGTAGTTAAATAATAATTTACCGAGATGTTGATGAAAATAAAATTGTTTTGTTAAATATAGTATCTAGTCATGTGGTTTTGTTAATGACTATAAAATAATATTTATTTAAAATATCTAAATAAATACAAATATATTAATATAATGTTATATATTGTATAGTTAAAAGATATTCATATAGTAGAATTTTGTAGAGATTTTATATTTGTACGTACTTTTGCCCTGCCCATAATATTATATAAAATATTATATAATAGTACAATATATATAAATATTATATAGTATATAAACAATGATTATAATTTTTATTTTAAATAACAAATTTTTAAATATTAAATATATACAGTATCAATAATATATTGAATAATCAATAACTTGAATGTTAATTTAAAAATTAATGTTACACTCGTATAATGAGTATAAATAATGTGTTATTCTTGCCTGTATAATTATTTATCTAATAATCCAAGATTATAAATTTTATTTATTGTAAAACGATATTTTAAAAATAAAAAATGCATATTTGTTGTTTAAATGCTAAATCATATTAATATGTTTTAAAAATTAAATAATTAGATCTACATAATTATTTATGCTAAACGTACAGTAGTTAAATATTTTAATGTGTTACTAGGGCATAAATTAAAAATGTAATTTATTTTTTATAAAAAAATTCAATTTATTATGAATCATAAAAATATTAAATTCAATTTAATTTTGCACTAGCTTATTATGTTTAACTAATAATGAAATACGTGTTAATCATACAATTATTAATAATAAATATAATGTATAATAATTACTTGAAATATAAGTTGTTAGGTGTAAATAATAAATTTTCAATAAAGTGTCACTGAACAGATTTAAATCGTATATAGACACGACATATAATTTTTCGAAAATAACACTTTCGTAACTTTCGTAATAATTATTATAAAATCTAAAATTATTTATAGTATCATTAATACGAAAACAACATTATTACTTATAACATGTCAAATAAAATATTTTTAAAAATTTGTTCCGAGTAAATATTTGTTTCAAAACCACAAACAACATCATGGTATATAAGCTCGGATTTTATCTTGTAGGTATATTATCCTAAAACTTATTTTAAAAAGTTTATTATATTAATATTTTAAAATAATAAATATGAACAGTGTACTAATAGTTACAGTTTGTATAGCTTATTTAGCTACATTGCTACATGGTGCTGATTTTAATGGCAAAAAATGGGTTGTTCTTGCTGCTGCCAGTAAGGGATGGGAAAACTACGGTGACCAGGTATATTATATTTAAAGAATTAATAATTTATTATACAAATTCTAAAAAATTAACCTTTATACAGGCTGACGTGTACCATGGCTATCACGTGGTCAAGTCGTTAGGCATTCCCGACGAAAATATCATACTTTTCTACTACAACGACATCGCGTATAACACCAATAACCCGACCCCTGGTGTTGTCATAAACACACCCCACGGTCCCAATGTTTACGCCGGCATACCCTTAAACCGCAGTTACACTGGTCATGACATAACACCTGATGTATTATAGAAAGCATCATGTTAAAATTTTTAAAAATTTTTTTTAAATTGAACATTGTTAAACTATTTTTGTTGTAGAATTTCTTAGCCGTAATTAGTGGCGATAGCGAATCGGTGCAAGCTACAAACTCTCAAGCTGGGGTTATCAATAGTGGCCCCGACGATCACGTGTTTATCTATTTAATTGACCATGGATCACCCGGTATTGTTTTTTATGTGATTTTATTTAATAGATATGTTAATACGAAATTAGAATCTTTTTGCTTTTAAAATACAAATTTACGATTTTCAGATATTATTTATTTTCCCCATCATAAATTATACGGCGAGGACCTTGTTGATACACTTACAGGCATGGCATCGAATAATCAATTTGCCAAGCTAGTGTTTTATCTGGAAACGTGTTACTCAGGTTTAAAAAAACTATATTGATATTTCATTTTACTACTAATTTGTTGATTATACTATCAGGCTCAATTTTTGACCAACTTCTACCAAATAACATTAACATTTACGCTACTACTGCGGCTGCACCTAATGAAAGTAGCTACTTTTGCGGTTACGATTACACCTATAATACTAGTCTGGGTATTTTTAAAATTACTTAGTTTTGATAGAATTTCGGGAATTATCAATATATTTTATTATTGAACAGGCTCGTTATATAGTAATTTGTTTTTGTTGAACACCGATACGTTTAATTTGAACGAGGAGACTTTAGAGCAACAGTTTGAGTATATTAAATATAAGGCATATGATACTGGCTCAAGTAAGCAAGCTACACAAACAGCGCAACAATACGGACAAATGGACATTGCTAAATTAGCGGTTTCAGAATTTCTAGGTAATAAATATAAATATCTTAATGCCAAAGTTAAAGTACATTTTGAAAATTATCCTAGGTTATAAGCCTGATCCAGCAAATGGCACGGCAGCTGATATCGCATACCTGAGCGGAAAGGGATGCGAACGAGTCAGCAGACGTGATAAAATGCTATATTTATTACGACAAAAGATCGATAGAATTACTGACCCTGTTGAAAAACAAAAGTATTTATAAAAGAAATTTATCATGCTAACAATAATAATTTTAAACTTAATTATAATAGATATGAAAAAGAATTGGAAAATTTAATTAACCACCGTCAGTACGTGGATGGTAAGCTATCGGATTTTGTAAAGCACCTTAGTACAATAGTTGATGGTATTGACCATGATACAATTATGACTGAAACGCAAAATTTGCAAAATCGCGAGTGTTATCGAAAATTTGTTGAAGCATTCGATAATAATAATTGTTTCAATCTGGATGTAAGAAATGTGCACGATAAAAAATTTAAAAATTATACTTGATGATTTATTTTTTTAAACAGAATTCGTTCGTCAAGGATAGGCTACAGATATTTGTAAATATATGCGAATTAATGCGAAACCCGAGTGAAGTGGATATCGGCGTCAATAGTCTGATACAGTATTGTCAAGATAATATTGACCAGGATATGGCTGATTATGAGTAGGTTTATGAGGTTTTTGAGTATTGTGTTGATTTATAATTACGATATTCTCAAATGATGAACAAAATAAAATATTGAATTTTTTATCAATTTTAATTTTATTTTAATTTGCAATAAAAAAAATATTGCGAATAAACATTTTTTGTATTAATCACTATTCATAGTGTACGACACTATGGAACTCCAGTATACATGTATAATAAGTAATCTGAAAATTTAAATTAATTAAAAATATTTAACTTAATTTGTTTTTGTAATAAACAATTATATAAATAGATTGCTCTAGTTTAGCCAGTATTGGATAAAATTGAACTTGTTTAAAAAGATCAAATTTGCTGAGAATGCAATATACAGTATATGAATGTGTTTATTTAATAATAGGTTAAGTCTATATTTTATAATAGAAATTAAATTGAATAGTAATGTATTGTAAACTTGATTGATTCTCAATGTGGCCAAAACTAGCCTATATCCATTATAACATATAAGGTATAGGCTAGTTTTGGCCACATTGAGAATCAAACAAGTTTACTTTAATCATTTCAATACTCATAATGAGTAATGTACTAAATGCTCATATTTTTTAATTTACAGGTTTTAAATGAACTCGACTTAATGTGTTATTAAATAAACGCATTCATATTATGCTAATAATAATACTCTCTAGTGCTACACTTATATACGGGTAATACTTAAAAATAATCAAATAAGTATCTAAACTTTAATAAATAAAATTATTATTATATTAATATTCTAAAACTTATTTGTTAATGCTTATATAATCAATGTGATAGTTTAAGTTTAAAATTATTTTCACATTTAGTAAGATGAATTTAATAAAATAGATTTTTAAAAATAAACACATTATATTCAATATTTTGATTGTTTTTAAGGACTATATGCTTTTTAATATTACACTCATTTAAAAGTACATTGCTTATTACATTTTTGTTAATAGAATTGATATAACTTAATTAGTGCATGACTGCAATCAAATATAAACTAGCAACCACCAAAACACCAATGCCCATACCATTACCATCCATACCACTTGCCACCGACTTTTCCGTACCAAACTGTGTCACGCAATCCCTGTCCATAGTCCTAGGCTTTAGATGGTGGCGCTCACCCCTACTAGTAATCGCTGTGAACAGGAAAATAAATTAGATTTCTTAAATTAACACATTTTCTTTAATATTTAGGTTGCTTTTCATAACTATATTCTTTATAATTTTTCACTCATTTAGAATTACAATATTCTTAAAAGTTTATCAAGATCAATATTGCTAAATGTAATTTTTATTATAATATTAATAATAAGAAATATAAATATTAGCATATTACATTTTTATTAATAGAATTGATATAACATTATTATCAAAAATATTGTATAACAAACAACAATATCAGTGCATGGCTAACACCAAAAATGAACTAACAACCACCAAAACACCAATGCCCATACCATTAGCACCCATACCACTTGCCACCGACTTTTCCGTACCAAACTGTGTCACGCAATCCCTGTCCATAGTCCTAGGCTTTAGATGGTGGCGCTCACCCCCACTAGTGATCGCTGTGAACAGGGGGTTATCGATGTGATAGCCGTCGCAGTTGTCCTGCATTTGCATCGCCGACAGGTGGAGCACCTCATCGACCGGTGCGAACGACAGGCCCACACACTGGCGCTTATACTCCGTGTGTATGCAGTCTATCAGCTCATAGATAATGCAACACTTGTGCGGTTCGTATAATATTGAGGGGTCCACCGGACGCGTACCTACGCCCGAGATCCCGGTCCCTTGGGTGTCATTTTCGGCCGCACCTACCGGACTGGTGGCTCCGAAGTCGTAGTAATAGGTGAAGTCCTCGTTAGCTTGCTCCTAGAGGTGTAGGGTGACCAGTTATTGTTTCTAGGTAAATTTTATGAGGTGGTTACTCTACCTGAATGTAAAACTCCGGTATTCTCTGTAGCTTATGGTCAGCACCGGGCCATCGCTGACGTATGTCTTGTATGCAGTGTTGAGCAAAGGACTTGTGTTTTGTGGTGCACTCCTTGACCTCGGGGCTCAGTGCGTGACCTTGCACACCTATCTATATTAATGAAAAAATATTAAAAATACTTTTTAAATAGCTTATATAATTTTATAAAATGCTTTATAAACTGTAATAGTGTAAACTTAATAAATTTTGTTATTTTACATATTTTATATATTTATTTATGGCATTTAACTAACAGTAAATTATTTAAAATTTTTCAAAAATTAAAATTGTTTAAATAATTTAAATAGAATTTTCTAGTAAAATAATTGAATTTATGTTAATTACTAAATTATTGTTAGATTTTAAACTATTTAATTTTTATTAATAGTTACTATATCTACTGTTTTTAATCTGGATATTTTACTTACACTTTGATTACCATAACTCAGACTAATAGTGTAGACCTCGTCAGTGAACCGACCCTTCAATATAATATTTTCATTATCATAGGCCACGTTTCGGGCATTCATATTGTCGAGCGTGGACTCTACTATAACTATGACCCCGATCAGTAACAAGCATAATAGCGAGAACAATTTATATAGATTCATTGTAGTTTTTAAAATGTGATAACAAAATAATTTTTTATTAAATAATTAAATTTTGTTTATTGAAAACGTAGTAATGATTATTACAAAAAAAATATTTAATTAATATAAATCAAATATGTTTTGAAATTAAATGTTTTAGTTTTAACTTAAAACTTTTAAGTGTTATAATTAATTATTAATTGCAACATACTAGTAATAAATTTATTTAAAAAATAATTAAATCCTTAAATAAATCAAATGAGCAAGTCAAATAAAATAAATTACGTTGATGAAACATTTGTCGCGGTACTAGAAATAGTCGTAATAGTTGTGGTACTACGATTTTTGGATCCAGAGCCCGTACTACTTTCATTACTATACCGGCGCCCATTGGTGGCGCCACTGGCACTCGACTTTTTAAACACCATATGCTTTAAATCGCGTAACACTTTGCCTCTCATAGAAAACGTCCCGAAAATAAACGCACCATGCAACCCATGTAGCACGATCGATATGTAACTAACAACCTTAATTTTAACAAACATACCCAAAAACCCGAATATCCAGGTCAGTCCCAACACCAGTACTAATCGGGTGTTTATGGCTAATCGGGCCTTACATTCGGCTGAACGTGTGGACCCCTTAACTGCGCGTGCGCTGAGTGACGCCTGTTTCAGCTCATGCGCAGTGATTATGAACAGGGTTATATTGAGGGTGAGTATGACACTCAGGGGTATTAAGAAAAATATGACCACCGCGGTGAAATGGGACATGCAACATATTGTAAGCCCGTACGCAGGGTTGTATGGCGAGTCAATGGGAATGGTGTATTGCACTATAAGGGATATGGATATAATTAGTGCCGGGGTCAGCCAGGCGTATATGGAGTATATGATGAATGATTTATTATTGTTAGACTTGACACGTTTGTAGGTGGACTGGCTCTTTGCGAATGTCTTGTATACATCTATGGCCATGACATTCATCCAGCAAAATGAGGCTAGTAGTTGGTAGGTGGGTGTAGATAACAAAAAATAATTAATTATTTAATTTATTAATAAATTATTAATAATAACCTAGTATAGTTAAATGAGCAAATAAATTTTAAATTAATAAATAATTGAAATAGAATCCAGAAATTATGTGCTAATTAGAAAAATTTTAATTAAAATGATAATAATAATTTTTAAATTAAAATTATATTAATATATAAATATTTTTTATCAAAATATTATATTCTTAAATGTAGAAATTATAATATTGCAAACTTGGCACTACAGCATTTTTGAAAAATGCTAGTACTTTATGAATCATTATCACGCTATATTTTTAATAAAATTGTACTAGTAACTACAATCGAATGTTGATAATTGTTTTATGAATAAGTTCTGGTCATAGGCAAATACAAAACCTGTTTAATATCTCAAATATAACCTTGGGAAGTTCTCAAATTATTATTATATTATCTCTCATAAAAATGAATTTTTATATTTTAATCCAGTTAAGTGATGTTAAAAAGTTATATGCCAAATAAAATAAATACTTACATTTTTATGATAACTTGACATGTTAATAATTAAAATCATTTTAGTGCATTTTAAGTGTAAATATTTTTATGGCAAAAAATATTACACCATTTTAATGAATGATCATTTTTCATATCTAAATATTCATTAATAACTTAAGCATTTATAAATTTTTTACCAATTAATTATTGCATAGAGATAAAATAATAAATTAGAAAAATTTTAAAAGTTTTGAGTGTTATAATTTATAATACTACATAAATTGTATAATATAATACTATATATAAAACTTTAACAAGCAAATTTTGAGTGCATTTAAAGTGCACTTTTAGCCTAAAATTTGGTGGTCATTCACCAGGTATACTTCATAATAAACAGGTTAGTATGAGCTTAAAATCTTGGGACAATAGTACTTTATAAGAAAATATGAAATGTACTTATATAAGTATATATAATATATTCAGTTCACTGAACATCACAATTAGCATGATATATGTTTACAAAAATATATTGTGTTTAAGTATAATAGCATTAGATTTTTAACAGAAATTATTAATTATATTAATAAGTTATTAATAATAACTTTACTTGTGTATTTAAATGTTGAACTAATTTCATATTAAAATAATTTATTGTTTTTTATTAATAATATAGAAAATCTCATTCATTCTCAGTAAATGCTATGGGAAGTCAATACAATACACTAGCCTATCTATATTGCCCTTAAAAATACATAAATAATATATTTAATAATAAAAGTACGCTTAACCTTGATAGTAATTTACAGGTTCGTGAAAATGCCTATTGAATGAATCAAAAACAAATAAAAAAATAATTCAATACAATAGGTCACATGTACTTATGTTTTAATGTACTTTTATATAATAAGCATTTTTTATTTTTATTATATGATAATGATAAATTATTTTTATTGTATGATATTTATTTCTGAATGAACAATCTAGTAATATACATATAATATAGTAACTAT